CACACATCTCCTCCCCTCAGCCGGCATCATAATCCACATATCCAGTACAGTAATTCCGCCCATTTCTGGATGTACCCCTAAACGTAGGGGTACCCCTTTAAATCATACATCCACTGGTAGCCCTGATCTGGGTGAACAACATATCCAAAAATCACCCAGATCAGACCAGGGGTTCGGGAAATTTATGGAGGGAATAAAATGACCGACCGCACTGAGTGAAACAGCCGAATGCGGTTCCATGTGAATGGGCCCTGCGGTCGGTCCTGGAGTAAGGGAACAAACTGCACGAAAACCTCAAGCTATAGAGGCTAGGGAGGGTTCGCCTGAATCCCCTCATTTGGTTCTTTCTATCTACCGAACGAGGGGCCGTTCGGTAGTTAGGAACCGAATGGACCGGGCTTGTGGAGGTTTCAGCGGTGTTCACCTAGTCGAGTGTCCGATTTGAGTTCCAGACACTCGATGGCAAAACACCGCTGTTTGGGAGTTTTAAAATGGCCGCCACGTGTTCGTTTGTCGAATGGCGGCCACCCCCGAGAACAAAGGACGGCTACTTCACTTGTCAATTACCCGTTCGCAACAATGTTGCAACGGGTAATTGAGGACACACTTCACACAGGGGAGGTCTGACTGTTCGGTAGTTTCAGTCGAACAAACTAAGGGAATGAAACGACCTTACGTTCAGACGAATCCAATACATTTTACACATAGAACTTAGCTATTTTACACGAATACATTCCCTTACTGCATAGACATTTAGCAAATAGACGAATACAGTTTAAACATAATGTAAGTCCCAGGGCAGCTCATGGCCATCCGCTACAGTGATGTTAGTTGCACAACGGTTCAGATTTCCTTCAGGATTCTCCGCTCGAAGACTGATGTCTTTGGAAGGGGTAAGTGGGTCCAGCTGGGGCTGTGCATTTATCCAGTTTTTTCCTTTGGAGAGTATTGTTCCTTACGCTCAGCTTCGTCTGCCTTCCCCCTTTTGGTGCATGAAGATGGTAGCTTTCTCTCTCAATTCCAGTTTATTAGTGTAATAACTGGCTGTGTTTTTCTATAGTTGAATAAGTCTTTTATGTATATATATATAGATATTTCTTCTTATCTTCAGTTGATTGATATATATACGTCTTTTGTATATATAGTCTTGGGCCAAATGCTCGCCACAATAATATATGTCTATATTATTGAAAATTAGTAATACGCAATCTGACGTTCTTTATAAAAAATGAGTATTTATTCTACATTCAACAGGAAACAGTTATATATACTTAACAGATGGTAATTCTTAACGATGTTACAGAGAGTCGTCTTGACATCAGAGAGGAGAGCAAACGGATCGTAGCAGGAAGAGACCCGTAATCCTTTGTCCTTGACTCTATATACCCCAAATTACGTCATAATGTTTAGTTTAGACCCTGCCATATAAGGAAGTTCCCTATATAAAGACCGCCTCAAATCTCTTATACAGCAAATTCCAGAGACCTCATATTACAGAGTAGCAAACACCATCTGTTCTGTTTAACCCATTAGACAGCCACACCTTAATATGTATTTGAATAGGAACATACAGAATATGCAATATTCTACAATTAGGGTGTTCCGTTTGGGGCTCGAATTTCTGGGTATTGGTGGCAGAGAGTTTGGGGGGCACTCGTTTCGTATAGGGGCGGCTACTGAGGCCTCTAGACTTGGCATGCCTGTGCAGGTGGTCCAAAGAATTTGGAGGTGGGTGTCAGGGCGTTATGTTTCCTATGTTCACCGGCTGGTCTCCTGATTTGATTTCTTTCCGCAGATTCGGCTCCCTCCAGGATTTGGGTCATGGGACACTCCTATGTCTATTGGGCCAGGCAGTGTGCTGCGATCCGGCCTGGAGATGAGCGGTTGGGTATTACATCTTCCGAAGCGGAGTTTCTGTGGTTTGGTACGAGAGGCATGAGGTGGGTGCGGCTCCTCCCTGACGTGGTTCAGTTGTCCCGCCTCCTGGGAGTTCTGAGTATCCTGGTGAACCATCTGGGGGGGAATGACCTGGGTTCAGTGCCCATATGGGATTTGGTATCTGCCGTTAAACGGGACTTAGGTTTGGTCTAAGGTTATAGCTTGTAATTTCTGGCAGCGCGCCCAGAACCAGAGTGCCATGAAGCGCTGCCGCCGCAAATTGTATAGGCGGGTTTCCAGGTTTGTCTTGGGGTTCGGGGGATTCCAGTTCGCCATAGGGTATTTGAGCGGAATGCGGCCAATCTATTTCGAGGGGATGGAGTGCACTTGGCAGAGGTCGGGCTCGACCTCTTTAATCTCGCTCTGCAGGAAGCGGTGGAACAGGCATGGCCTGGTGGGGTCCCCCGCTGATTTTAGGTGTAAAACAGCAGGGTTGTGGCCAGGGGTATGTTCTTGCCAATTAAGTTTGAGGTGTTTACGTTTAAGTATGTGGAATGAAGTGAGCAAGTTTTCAGGTCTCAACCTTAGGTTATCTGTTATGTCGTGCCCACCGAGCGAGGAAAAGGTCGGCTGGTGGTAAGCATTGGAAGAAAAAGGAGTTTATGCCGAGGGGGGAGGTGAGAGGATGTGGTACATAGGCGCATGGTCAGTTTTGGCAAGGACGGTTGGGTTTACTGTATGACACTATGTGTTAAGTTATATCTTAAGTTATGGTTATTTATGTTTAACGTTTTGGTTAACTAAAAGAAAGATTATTAAAATAAACTATGGATGTGTTATACAGTAATTATCATATGTTATAATAAATGCTGTGTCCTGTTTCATCCATACTACGTTGTCTGTCATTATTTGGGAGGTGAATTTGGGTTGGTTTATGTATGATGCTGCATCGCAATTCTCCACTACGTACATACATGATTTCCTTTCTGTGAAAGACATGATCTGGGCGCAAAGATGATGCAGAGATCTGACTTTTGTTCCACCTTGTTTGTTTATATTGGTGACTATTGTGATGTTGTCTGATTGAATTTTGGTTTGTGTGTGATCCATGACTCAAATACTAGTAGTGCATTGAAAAACACCTTCATATCCCATCTATTGGACGATTGATGTGCCTCCTCTTCAGACCAAACTCCTTGAAAAAAGTAGGCTTTTCAGATGAGCACCCCATTTGCATTTTGAGGCATTGGTCGTTATCATAATCCACTCCATTTGGTGGAAAGACAAGCCCCATAACAGAAACTCTGATTTTCTCCCTCAATCTAGTTTATTTCTAACCTTCTTTGACAGCCTGAATTCCAGATCCTCTTCTTCTCCTAACTGATTTTGCAATCTTTCATTGGAGGGTCTCATCCGAGCTTTTGCCTACTGCACTGCTGAAATAGAGGACATAAGAATGCTCAGTATACTCATGGCTTTCATGGTACAACATGCTTCTCTTTGAAGAAAGGAAATTTCTTCTCTGACCTTCTTGATCTTTGGAGAGGGTAGAAACAGAAAAGGGATCTTGAAGTCTACTAAGAGTCCCAGAAACTGGATACTTGTAGGAGAGAGCTGTAATTTTTTGATCAACCAACTGTGACTTTTTAATCACTGAACAGTGCTTTGGAACTTGCTCTGAGAAACCAATCGTCCAAATATGGGACAATGGGAATGTCCTTTTCTCTGAGATATGCTGCCAAAGGAAGGGGGAGTTTTATAGAAACATAGAATGTGACGGCAGATAAGAACCATTCGGCCCATGATTCTTGGTGCAGAGGCTAGACCGAATGGTAAGGCCTTGAACTGGAAGTGCTGGATTTTTCCCCCTGATATGATGGCAAATACTTTCTAGAAGCCACTGCCATAGGAACGAGCAAATAGGCATCTTTTAAATAGTAGAGTAGCCATATAGTCTTTTTTGTAGCATATTAGTGACATATGGGTGGGTTACATATGGAAGCTCTGGCACTGAATACATGTGTTCATCCCTTTTTAACCCCTTGAGGACCAAACTTCTGGAATAAAAGGGAATCATGACATGTCACACATGTCATGTGTCCTTAAGGGGTTAAAGGGACACTATAGTCACCCAGACCACTTCAGCTCAATGAAGTGGTCTGGGTGTCAGTCAGGTCCCCCAGGTTTTAATCCTCCAGATGTAAACATAGCAGTTCCAGAGAAACTGTTAACATTGCAGGGTTAATCCAACCTCTAGTGGCTGTCTTCCGGACAGCCACTAGAGGCGCATTCGCATCCAGCGTGCAGAGCGTCCATAGGAAAGCATTAAGAAATGCTTTATTATGGACTGTTTGAATGCGCATGTGGCTCTTCCCACGCATGCGCATTCCGCTCGGTAGCCGACAGCAGGGGAGGAGAGGTCACCAGCGCCGAGGGAGCCCGGCGCTGGATAAAGGCAAGTAGTAAGACCGGTCAGTCGATTTGGAGATCTAAGTTTATGTTGCCTTCCCCAGAACGAGCGCAGTTTACCAAGCTTTATTCTTAGAAACTCGAGGAACTCTCCTAAAACATGTTCTGTTGACATAACAGTCAGGCCCTGTCCTCATGTCTGTTTAATTATAAAAGTTTTTGATATATTTCATTTCAAAAGAATATTGTTTGCTATTAATCTTTAGGCCCTCGCTGTTAGAATACTTATACACGGGTTAACCTATCATTAAGAATTTAATTTTTATTGATACTCAGTGCTGTGATTTTGTATTGGTCTTTCACAATACATTTGGCTGATGTGTGCAGTAGTCTGATTGTTGTGTTTTATAGGATTTTCACTTTGTAATAAAGCTGTATGTTTGACTCAGAATTGAAATCTAATACTCTTTGCAATGTCAAGAACTCAATTATGGTCTAGGATTATTTTCCCCTTGATATTTATCTTGCTATAAATGTGCAGTTGTGTTTTACAATAAAAATTCAGACAATCCCCTAAACTGGAACCCCACCGCTTTGCATTAATCATCCTGCCGTCTCCACACTGATTGAAAAGAATATAAAAAAAAATAAAAAATACAAATGGTTTGTAAAGCCCTGACCCCATCACACACCATTAATAATAATAATTCAAATTCAGTACAGTATCTCCCTTTATTCTCTCGCTGAATTACAGATAAATAAATTTGTTTAAAAAAAAAAATAAAGAAAATAGAGATATCGATGTAAGTCAGGTCTGACAGGGAGAGAACATAAGGGGTAATACATCCTGCCGAAGCTGCAAAGAATGCCCGGCCAGCTGACCACAGACAATTAAACTTCCTCACATGTTAAACCAATGAAGGTTGGACGTCCTTAGAACGTACAGAAACGTTTAGCTCATTTTCCTTATGTCACAGACTTTATTTAGACGTGTTTGACTTTAGTTCCAAGTTGGGGGGTGTTGTGGGAAAGCATGGACTGGGATCTTCTCTCTGCTCCGGCAGTAGGTTCAGTTGCCCTTGCGCGAAGGTTCATCATCACTCAGTCTAGCTTTCAGGTGAAGTTTGTAGGATAAAATATCTCCTGTCCACTTTGTGACAGCTTGCTTTTCACACACCCAGATCTCCTGTGCAACCTGGATATTGGGGGTAAAATTAGAAATAGTAAACATAAAGATTTAAACACAGTGTAGGAGTTAAGTTGTATCACTCTTTAAACTCACCTGCTGTATGAGTCGGAAGTCGTGGCTAACTAGCATCATTCCGCCTTCAAACTCATTAATAGCATCTGCAAGAGCATCTATTGTCTCAATGTCCAAGTGATTGGTGGGCTCGTCAAGAAAAAGCATATGGGGGGTTTGCCAGGCCAGCCAGGCAAAGCAAACGCGACACTTCTGACCATCAGACAGGTTCCGGATTGGACTCACCTAGGTAAGGCATGGGGAAAAAGGAGAAGGTGTTAATATTGTCAAATCATATAAATATAGATTACCTCAAAAGAAAGAGCTAAGGATTGGAAAGTGATGAAGGCAAATTAAGTGATTAAGGAACCATTGTAGTGTACTGTTTATGGCACCAAGATTGCCCTGACATTCCCCTAAGTAGCGAAACCGTTAACCAATTTACCTGGGTGCCACCAGGCTGGTTAAACTCTCCATGAGAACCAGAATCTCTCAACATTGTGCCAAGTAAAGCACTTTCAGCCAATCTGCTGGCTATGCATGGAAAGATTTGGGCAGGGTGTGGCACCATGGACGACATCGGGTAAGTTGTCTGTGACAAACTCCCCTCTCCAAGTGAGTTTGCCACGAGCTCCTGAAGGAGCCTGCTTGCACACAGACTATGTGCCCTGCAGAGAAACCTGTAAAAGACTACCAAGCTTGACCGACTTAGCACTGATTTTCCTGGAACTGTTTTGGGCTTTGGACCATTTTTAGGGTACTTTTGAAAAAGTTTTTTTTTTCTGTGCTTGGAGATAATTGGATTAGAATTAGTACAGTTACTGATCCAATTATCTCCCAGGCAGAGGGGAGGGATTGTATGCTGGAGTGTCATGTATTTAAACACCTTTGTCATTGGTCTGTGACTTTGTGCTGCAGTCCCCCACAAGGTCCAGAGGGGAGTGCATATAAGGCCAGTTGTGGCTGCCATTAAAGCATTCCAGCTTGCACTCCAAAACTGTGTGTCATCCTGTTATTGGAGGGGAAGAAGATTTACTCCTGTGTCTGCTGTTTCAACGGGGAAAGTCCATGTAGAGCTGCCAGGACTGAGTGTCGTCCAGTGCCTGGGGGTGTCTAGAGCGAATTTCCCATTCGGATCCAGGAAGGAGCGGTGCCAGGCCCCAGTCAAGCCACGGTGACTGTGTGCAGAAGTGATGCGGTTTGTCCACTGTTCCAGTTAGGAAGCAGTCCTTGGGGGATGTACCCGGCCAGGGAAACATGGAGCTCCGTTACATTGTCAAACTGTTAGCAAACAGACTTGGGGAGAATGGCACGCCAGGGCACAGCGTATTATATATAAAGCACCAATATGTTCTGTAGCGCAGTACAATGGGTGGACTAACAGACACGTATTTGTAACCAGACAAGTTTGACGCACGGGAACAGAGGGATTGAGGGCCTGCTCAGTGAGTTTACATGTTAGAGGGAGTGGGGTATAGTGACACAGTAACAGAGGGATTGAGGGCCCTGCTCAGTGAGTTTACATGTTAGAGGGAGTGGGGTATAGTGACACAGTAACAGAGGGATTGAGGGCCCTGCTCAGTGAGTTTACATGTTAGAGGGAGTGGGGTATAGTGACACAGTAACAGAGGGATTGAGGGCCTGCTCAGTGAGTTTACATGTTAGAGGGAGTGGGGTATAGTGACACAGTAACAGAGGGATTGAGGGCCCTGCTCAGTGAGTTTACATGTTAGAGGGAGTGGGGTATAGTGACACAGTAACAGAGGGATTGAGGGCCCTGCTCAGTGAGTTTACATGTTAGAGGGAGTGGGGTATAGTGACACAGTAACAGAGGGATTGAGGGCCCTGCTCAGTGAGTTTACATGTTAGAGGGAGTGGGGTATAGTGACACAGTAACAGAGGGATTGAGGGCCCTGCTCAGTGAGTTTACATGTTAGAGGGAGTGGGGTATAGTGACACAGTAACAGAGGGATTGAGGGCCTGCTCAGTGAGTTTACATGTTAGAGGGAGTGGGGTATAGTGACACAGTAACAGAGGGATTGAGGGCCCTGCTCAGTGAGTTTACATGTTAGAGGGAGTGGGGTATAGTGACACAGTAACAGAGGGATTGAGGGCCCTGCTCAGTGAGTTTACATGTTAGAGGGAGTGGGGTATAGTGACACAGTAACAGAGGGATTGAGGGCCTGCTCAGTGAGTTTACATGTTAGAGGGAGTGGGGTATAGTGACACAGTAACAGAGGGATTGAGGCCCTGCTCAGTGAGTTTACATGTTAGAGGGAGTGGGGTATAGTGACACAGTAACAGAGGGATTGAGGGCCCTGCTCAGTGAGTTTACATGTTAGAGGGAGTGGGGTATAGTGACAGTAACAGAGGGATTGAGGGCCCTGCTCAGTGAGTTTACATGTTAGAGGGAGTGGGGTATAGTGACACAGTAACAGAGGGATTGAGGGCCCTGCTCAGTGAGTTTACATGTTAGAGGGAGTGGGGTATAGTGACACAGTAACAGAGGGATTGAGGGCCTGCTCAGTGAGTTTACATGTTAGAGGGAGTGGGGTATAGTGACACAGTAACAGAGGGATTGAGGGTCTGCTCAGTGAGTTTACATGTTAGAGGGAGTGGGGTATAGTGACACAGTAACAGAGGGATTGAGGGCCTGCTCAGTGAGTTTACATGTTAGAGGGAGTGGGGTATAGTGACTCAGTAACAGAGGGATTGAGGGCCTGCTCAGTGAGTTTACATGTTAGAGAGGGGGTGGGGTATAGTGACACAGTAACAGAGGGATTGAGGGCCCTGCTCAGTGAGTTTACATGTTAGAGGGAGTGGGGTATAGTGACACAGTAACAGAGGGATTGAGGGCCTGCTCAGTGAGTTTACATGTTAGAGGGAGTGGGGTATAGTGACCCAGTAACAGAGGGATTGAGGGCCCTGCTCAGTGAGTTTACATGTTAGAGGGAGTGGGGTATAGTGACACAGTAACAGAGGGATTGAGGGCCCTGCTCAGTGAGTTTACATGTTAGAGGGAGTGGGGTATAGTGACACAGTAACAGAGGGATTGAGGGCCCTGCTCAGTGAGTTTACATGTTAGAGGGAGTGGGGTATAGTGACACAGTAACAGAGGGATTGAGGGCTCTGCTCAGTGAGTTTACATGTTAGAGGGAGTGGGGTATAGTGACACAGTAACAGAGGGATTGAGGGCCTGCTCAGTGAGTTTACATGTTAGAGGGAGTGGGGTATAGTGACACAGTAACAGAGGGATTGAGGCCCTGCTCAGTGAGTTTACATGTTAGAGGGAGTGGGGTATAGTGACACAGTAACAGAGGGATTGAGGGCCCTGCTCAGTGAGTTTACATGTTAGAGGGAGTGGGGTATAGTGACACAGTAACAGAGGGATTGAGGGCCTGCTCAGTGAGTTTACATGTTAGAGGGAGTGGGGTATAGTGACACAGTAACAGAGGGATTGAGGGCCTGCTCAGTGAGCTTACATTAGAGGAGTGGGGTATAGTGACACAGTAACAGAGGGATTGAGGGCCTGCTCAGTGAGTTTACATGTTAGAGGGAGTGGGGTATAGTGACACAGTAACAGAGGGATTGAGGGCCCCGCTCAGTGAGTTTACATGTTAGAGGGAGTGGGGTATAGTGACACAGTAACAGAGGGATTGAGGGCCTGCTCAGTGAGCTTACATGTTAGAGGGAGTGGGGTATAGTGACACAGTAACAGAGGGATTGAGGGCCTGCTCAGTGAGTTTACATGTTAGAGGGAGTGGGGTATAGTGACACAGTAACAGAGGGATTGAGGGCCCTGCTCAGTGAGTTTACATGTTAGAGGGAGTGGGGTATAGTGACACAGTAACAGAGGGATTGAGGGCCTGCTCAGTGAGTTTACATGTTAGAGGGAGTGGGGTATAGTGACCCAGTAACAGAGGGATTGAGGGCCCTGCTCAGTGAGTTTACATGTTAGAGGGAGTGGGGTATAGTGACACAGTAACAGAGGGATTGAGGGCCCTGCTCAGTGAGTTTACATGTTAGAGGGAGTGGGGTATAGTGACACAGTAACAGAGGGATTGAGGGCCCTGCTCAGTGAGTTTACATGTTAGAGGGAGTGGGGTATAGTGACACAGTAACAGAGGGATTGAGGGTCCTGCTCAGTGAGTTTACATGTTAGAGGGAGTGGGGTATAGTGACAGTAACAGAGAGATTGAGGGCCCTGCTCAGTGAGTTTACATTCTAGAGGGAGTGGGGTATAGTGACACAGTAACAGAGGGATTGAGGGCCTGCTCAGTGAGTTTACATGTTAGAGGGAGTGGGGTAAAGTAGGTTGCTAGGATAGTTTTCACGGAGGGCTTAGTGTTTTGCTTTGATGAGTTTCAGGAGAGGAATCAGCTTGTATTGTAGTGCTTGATCTGTTCCTTTAATACGGAATCCAATCAGATGTAGGAAACCAATATTTACAATTTCTGAACGCATTGTTTACTGTATTTGTGGTTCCTAAAGCAATTTGTTGGGATAGATTAACAATACAGGAATAATAAGTTTTGGGGGGGGGGGGGTTACCTAGAAATCTGGTTTTAATAAGGCTCTGGGGACTGGTCTAAATATTAAGTAGCATTGGATGATACAATAAGGGTAATAGTTTTACAGAGGATCAATCTAATAGGATAACACCAGACTTGTACAAATGGACTAGAAGTGTGACCCTCAGTATGTGCTAACATGGAAAAGGTTAGGGACTCCCCAAACTTTGCATCCAAAGGTTACTATAATCAAAATAAACAAAACAAAAAATATTAGGTTGGAATAAGCCTCTGATATATAGTAAAATTAAATAATAAACACCGAGGCAATGCTCTCCATGCAGCCACGAGCCTCCTCCTGTGATACTGCAAGGGTGGGGGTGTTATTGGCTGAGGGTGGAATGTAGGCCACTCAAGAGCTGACATCCAATGATTTTGTTAGCTAGCTCGGGGCTCTTGTTCTGGACTGCTACTACAGACATATATACCTCCGGCAGCGACATCAGATGTCAGCGTTCCAATGGCCGTGGGGCTTGGAGTAAAGCACTACTTGGAGTGCAGGCAGCTGTATAAGCAGGCAAGTATGGAGGACACAGGGAAGAGCCGTACAAAGAAGGAAAGATCTAGGATTCTTTTTACTTACAATTTAACAGATACACCCCTAAGAAAACATGCAATTCAATTTTCTGCATATTTTCTTTAGGGATATATGAAGAAGCATCTTTTAAAAGCTGCAGACCAGCTGTGTGGAAGAAAACGTTTCAGCTGTCAGTGATTGTTTGTGACAGCCAAGGAGGCGACTTATACTGAAATGTGGACCGTTTAAAACGGTTACAAATAAGGCAGACTCCAGCAAGCTGAAACGCTTTGTGTCCGGAGTTTAAAGTCAGGTTTAATTATGGGAGAGGTTTGTTGTCAATGAGGTAGGCAATTCCCAATTTACCTGCTGTTTCCCAGTCAATCCATATCTCCCAATGATCTTCCTCATCTCCTCCTTCTCCTTTATTTCAGGATAACACTTCATCATATATTCCAGAGGAGAAAGATCTAGGTCAAGCTGTTCTGTCAGGTGCTGATGGTAACGTCCAATCTTCACGTGAGAATGTTTCCGGATCATTCCGTCGGATGGCAGTAGCTGGAAAGAGAAAAGTTATGAGAATGGATAAAACAGCAGCACTCGTGGATAGTAAGATCAGAATCATGTCTCCTACACAGAGTTGGATAATTCACTCAGCTTACCTCTCCAGTCAGTAGTTTTAGTAAAGTGGATTTTCCAGCTCCATTGGGTCCTACGAGGGCCACACGCGTGTCCAGATCAATCCCAAACTCCAGGTTCTTGTATATGAGGGGCTACGGTCAAGGTGTAAGATAAGATTGTTTGGTGAGACTTTAATAATATCTGCAAAGAGAGAACCACTGAAATTATATCCCCCAATCTTACCCCATCGGTATTGTAACGGAAGCTGACATTCTGCACCATGATAACTGGAGGAGGTATTTTTCCACAGGACGGGAAAAAGAACGAGAGCGTCTGAAACAGAAACAAAGTGAATGAACTATAGGAAGGAGGAAAAGACCGGCAGAACTAGAAACTGAGGGACAGAGACAATGGGGCAGAACTAGAAACTGAGGGACAGAGACTATGGTTTCCTGAAGGGCCACGACAGACACAACCACGCTGGTAAACACCCCCTGGCCCAAAAAATCCCTGAAAAATATATCCACTTATCGGATAATGCATCAGTGGCATCACAGTGACCTCACCTTATCGCTGACCACTCTTTCAGTTAGTCCAGATGACATCATTTTCTGCAAAGTTTTCTCTTTGCTCTGTGCTTGACGGGCTAACTTGGCACTGCCATGACCAAACCGTGCAATGTAGTTCTGCAGAAGTGATATTAAAAGAGGATATACTAATCGAACTACAATAAACCATAGTCGAAGTTGTGTGTAAAACCAATCACCCTGCCACAAGTCATTCACAACCATCTTAATAAACCAGACTCTCCATGTGCCCATCATTCACATCACCATGGTCTCTCCCCACCCAAAAAACAGCTTTCAAAGCTTTATCATACATACCACAATTTGGTGTTATCCCTAGTTATAGCCAAGCTTATGCCAGTACAACCTTCCCAAAACCATGCCTCTTCCTTCTCATATGAAAACATGATTCCTCACGGTTCACTGACAGTTCAGACATTGTGCAAGAAGCTGGATTTAACCATTACGCTTCGATCTACGTAGAGATGGTCAGCTTACCTTCATGTGAGCAATCTGATCCTGTTCCCAGTTGAACCTTTTCATTTGATTCTCTTCCAGCTCCAGACGAGTTTTTACATACTGATCATAATTGCCCTAATGGGACAGAAGGACTCGTTACAGACCACATATCACCTTCTACGATAATGGAGATGCAGGGTATATGGCCTATCGCTCAACATTACCCCTTGAAACAGAATGGACGTTGTTTAGTTAGGCATTCTTTTTGCTTTTCATTTGTTTGTGCCTTTTGCCAACCGTACTACATCACTATGAACTCAGGCTCAGTTTCCAGCAATTAAACTCTTAAAATGACAGATTTGAATTTTTCTGACCTGGGATAAACTGGCCTTTGGTAAGTGGAAATATAGCCTTAAGAGTAGAAATACATTCCTGGTGTGCTATGCAGTGGCTAGTAGCATAGGCCTTCGAGCCCTGGTTCTGAGCATAGAAACATGTAGCAGTGCATCTGTGAGAGATACTTACTGTGTAGTATTTCAGCTTGCGGTTGTGTAGGTGAATAATGTTTGTACACACTCCATTCAGGAAGTCCTGGGAGTGAGAGATCAGGACCAGGATCCGACGAAAACTGCAAAGAGAATAAGAAGAAAAATCAGAACCAAGAGAGAAGCAAAGATTGTGAAGTGCAACCAGTAAGAGAAAGCAAGAGAGACAGGCACAGCAACACTGGCAAGATTTCCAACTTACGATTTGAGCTCTTCCTCCAACCACACACAGGCTTCCAGATCAAGGTGATTTGTGGGTTCATCAAGTAGTAACATGAATGGTCGGATAAAAAGGGCTCTGGAACAAACATAACAATAACACTCAGTAACCCCGAGACCTGTGTGTGTGCGCTACTGCAAGGTATATATATATATATATATCTATCTATCTCACCTGGCAAGAGCTACACGCATCCGCCAGCCACCACTAAAATCCTTTAGCATCTTGCGTTGCATAGCGGGGGAGAATCCCAGGCCATGAAGGATGCGGGACGCTCTGACCTCTGCCTTGGCAGCGTCCAACTCTTCCAGGCGTTCATAGATCTCAAGCAATTTCTCACACTCGGCTGTATAGGAAACATGTTACATGATATAAAGGGATATCTGGCTATAGCATCAGTTCATTCATAACAAGCTACATGTAGACAATATGTTACAGCCTTTACCCAAACACCAAGGATAGTCTCTGCGTTATTAAAGAGCTATTTACAGAACACGGGAAGTTGGTTGACCACCATTAGTCTGCTCGCGTTTTATGGATACGGTCTATTTAAAGAGTGGACGGTGACTTCCCTGGGGTTTCAATATTATGTTTATTTACACCTATATTTAACAAATAGATATGTGAGAGGTGTGAAAAATAAAAGTAAATGTAGAAATCCTCATCATTTTGAAGTCCAAAAGCCAATCAAGGAACAATGCAAATCCCTTTCTCACCAGATAATTAGGATTTGCCACCAGCACACTGTTGTACATAGCCCACACACCAGAGTCTCATCTCACCATCCTCATGCGCTAGTCTCTCTGCCTCCTTCTCCAACATGCTCCTCTCAGTGTCCACCTCCATCACACACTGCAGAGCAGTCTTCTCACTGGGTGGCATCTCCCGTGTTAAATGATAGATATCAATGTGCTCTGGAATTGGCACTTCTCTTGCTCCAATGGCTGAAAGCAGCATCGATTTCCCTGGAGAAGAAATAAAAAGACGGCAAAATGGAGCAGACGTTACTTACCCTGCCCCATCCAAAACAAACAGGCAACACCCAGCTCATTCTAGTAATATCCATCACAAAGCTCTCCATGATACTACTCATCCTGACAACTCTCTTTGGGGTGCAAGACCAGCCAGTTTCCTTCTGTTTCCCAACAATTCCTTGACTTGGTGCATCTGTCAGTTCACTTTTCACTCTTACTATTCTGTCTTAATTCATAACCTGCCCAAATTAGTGCTGTTACTTTGCCACTAGACTTCAGAAACCAAAGCACTTTGCTCTACTTCCTCACCGGTTCCATTGAGGCCAATCAGCCCATATCTCCTTCCCGAATTGAGTTCCACGGTGGTGTCATTCAGAAGCTCCTGGCCATGAAAGGTCAGCGACATGTTAATAATGTGAACATCTGTGCTGTTTGGATGAGAAGCCAGTACTCCAGTGACCGCCCGGGCAGCAGCCTTCCGGAGTTCAAACTCTTCCATCTGGCGCGTCACTTCATCTACTTCTGTAAATAGAACTTATGAAATCAATATAAATCCCTGCAGCATCTTTTTCAGCCCCCCATGTACAAGCCTGGTCACCTCACGCCACCACACAAAAAGAACAAGCCCCGACAACATCTGCTTCAGACATCATGCTCCCTGTCCTGGCACACACAAGGGGCAAGCACCTGGCACACATTCTGCTCTCTGCACACAAGACACAAAGGCCCCCAGATTTCCCTCCCAGCAGAAAAGAAGGTATTGGCAGTGAATAGTCACATCAGCCCCTTAGCAGAGATCTGAATTGG